ACTAAAGATGGAGTCAGGAGTCAGACTCCATCACTAAAGATGGAGTCAGGAGTCAGACTCCATCAGGCTCTAGTCACTAAAGTGGAAGCTGCAGAAAAACAAAAAAAATAGGACTAGTCAAATAGGGGGGCGAGGTTTGACAAGCCGCCGTGGTTCCTGTCCCCGTCGAGTTCACTAGACTGATAGATAGTAGCCCCCTCAAATAAATTCAGCTAAATATCTATCCTCTATTTAAGTTAATCAGTTCGAGAGATCTATTCTAGTCTTCCTGCTGTATTTAAAAATAAAAAAAGAGGCATGTCCCACCCCTCGCAGTTCAACTGTTCAAAATAAGTGTCTTAATTCTAATTGCTGGCTTTGAGAGGCCTATCCTGCCTATGTTAATCAGATGAGACATATTGGAGAGTAATAAGCCATCACTGTACTCTGGCCTCGCCTAAGCAACCTCAGGGCTGCTGCTCACCTTCTGTGCTTCCTCTTCTGGAAAAACACGTTGTTTCAACTTCCTCACACACTGCCTAACTTCCTCACACACTGCCTAACTTCCTCACACACTGCCTAACTTCCTCACACACTGCCTAACTTCCTCACACACTGCCTAACTTCCTCGCACACTGCCTAACTTCCTCACACACTGCCTAACTTCCTCACACACTGCCTAACTTCCTCACACACTGCCTAACTTCCTCACACACTGCCTAACTTCCCCACACACTGCCTAACTTCCTCACACACTGCCTAACTTCCCCACACACTGCCCAACTTCCTCACACACTGCCTAACTTCCTCACACACTGCCTAACTTCCTCACACACTGCCCAACTTCCCCACACACTGCCTAACTTCCTCACACACTGCCTAACTTCCTCACACACTGCCTAACTTCCCCAAACACTACCTAACTTCCTCGTGTGACGTTTCATTCCATTTCGAATCGCCAACCTGTATTTCATTCTACATTGATTTCTTTCGTCACACTGCGTTCATTCTCACTGCGTTCCGTTCCGACGCGCACCGTTGCGTTTGCTTCAGCTTAAGCTGTGAGTCACATACGCTGCCTTGGGTAAACACTAATACGTCTGCGATTATCAGATGCACGTCAAAGTCAAGCTGACGTCCATTTGATAAACGTATACCCGCTTAGAAGTTGTGGGTATGTTGCAAGAGGTGGTGGGTATGTTGGAACACCTGCCCTACAAGTTTTGGGTATGTTGGAACACCTGCCCTACAAGTTTTGGGTATGTTGGAACACCTGCCCTACAAGTGGTGGGTATGTTGCAAGACCTGCCCTACAAGTGGTGGGTATGTTGCAACACCTGCCCTACAAGTGGTGGGTATGTTGGAACATCTGCCCTACAAGTGGTGGGTATGTTGCAACACCTGCCCTACAAGTGGTGGGTATGTTGCAACACCTGCCCTACAAGTGGTGGGTATGTTGTAACACCTGCCCTACAAGTGGTGGGTATGTTACAACACCTGCCCTACAAGTGGTGGATATGTTGCAACATCTGCCCTACAAGTGCTGGATATGTTGCAACACCTGCCCTACAAGTGGTGGGTATGTTGCAACACCTGCCCTACAAGTGGTGGGTATGTTACAACACCTGCCCTACAAGTGGTGGATATGTTGCAACATCTGCCCTACAAGTGGTGGGTATGTTGGAACACCTGCCCTACAAGTGGTGGGTATGTTGGAACACCTGCCCTACAAGTGGTGGGTATGTTGGAACACCTGCCCTACAAGTGGTGGGTATGTTGGAACACCTGCCCTACAAGTGGTGGGTATGTTGCAACACTTGCCCTACAAGTGGTGGGTATGTTGGAACACCTAGCCCTACAAGTGGTGGGTATGTTGCAACACCTGCCCTACAAGTGGTGGGTATGTTGTAACATCTGCCCTACAAGTGGTGGGTATGTTGCAAGACCGGCCCTACAAGTGGTAGTATAGACAGCGGAAATAACACGGTGCTCGCTGGAAACTCTTGCGGAATATTTACCAGAACACGCGATGGCAACATAGGGGCGAAGGAAATGCCTGTACACACACACACACACACACACACACACACACACACACACACACACACACACACACACACACACACACTTGGCATCTAAGTAAAAGAGCGTTGAGAAACTATAGAAATAGCAGGACACTTGAGAGCAGAGTAGGATACTCTGCCAGGAATGAATACGTCAGAGTGAAAAAGAGAGGCAGAAGAGCAATATGAAAATGACATAAGCAAGGCTAAGATTCAATCTAAATTGCTGCACAGCCACATCAGGAAGTAGACAACAGTGAAGGAACATGTAATGAAACTGAGGATAGGGGCGGACAGATTCACTACAAACGACAAAGAAGTGTGGGAGGAACTCAATAAGAAATTCCAGGAAATCTTCACATTAGAGCAAGGAGAAGTTCCAGTGTGGGATGTAAGGAAGCTTTTGCTAGAGTTGGATGTGACAAAGGCTATAGGCCCGGATGGAATATCGCCATGGATACTAAAGGAAGGAGCAGAAGCACCGTGCCTGCCGATGATGCAAAAATTATGAGGAGGCTTAAGACGGAGGAAGATAGTATGAGGCTACAAGATGACCTAGACAGACTGAATGGTTCAACAAATGGCTACTAAAGTTCAACCCGAGTAAATGTAAGGCAATGAAACTGGGCAGTGGAAACAGGAGGCCAGACATAGCATACAGAATGGGAGATGAAATCCTTCATGAAACGGAGAGAGAGAAAGATCTAAGAGTTGATATCACACCAAACTTGTCTGCTGAAGCCCACATAAAAAAATAACATCTGCGGCGTATGCAAGGCTGGATAACATTAGAACTGCCTTCAGGAACCTGTGCAAGGAATCATTCAGAACCTTGTATACCACATACGTAAGACCAATCCTGGAGTATGCGGCCCCAGCATGGAGCCCGTACCTTGTCAAGCACAAGGTGAAGATTAAAAAAGTTCAGAGGTATGCCATTAGCAACCCGTTCTCGCAAATTTAATAAGTCAATATTGACTTATGAAATATGTGCATAGGTGACATACTTAACATAATAGATACCCTTAAAAAGATTCATAGAAAACACCGACCTTACCTAACCTACTTAGTATGTTAAGATAAGCATCTTATTACTTCGTAATTACAATTATTACCTAACCTATAATAGGTATAGGTTAAGTAATAATTGTAATTATGAAGCAATAAGATGCTTATCTTAAGATACTAACAAGGTTAGGTAAGGTCGGTGTTTTCTATGAATCGTTTTAGGGGTATCTATTATGTTTAGTATATCACCTATGCACATATTTCATAAGTCAATATTGACTTATTAAATTTGCGAGACACCAACAACATGTTGAGACACCATCAACATCATAGTCCCAGAACTAAGAGGCATCACTTACGAGGACAGGCTGCGAGAAATGCAACTCACGACACTGGAAGACAGAAGAGTAAGGGGAGACATGATCACTACCTACAATATTCTCAGAGGAATTGACAGAGTAGAAAAAGATAAATTATTTAACAAGGGTGGAACGCGAACAAGGGGACACAGGTGGAAACTGAGTACCCAAATGAGCCACAGGGACGTTAGAAAGAACGTTTTCAGTGTCAGAGTAGTTAACAGGTGGAATGCATAGTTAACAGGTGGAGTTGGGCAGTGATGTGGTGGACACTGTGGTGGAGGCTGACTCCATACACAGTTTCAAATGTAGATATGATAGAGCCCAGTAGGCTCAGGAATCTGTACACCAGTTGATTGACAGTTGAAAGGCGGGATCAAAGAGCCGGAGCTCAACCCCCGCAAGCACAACTAGGTGAGTACACACACACACACACACACACACACACACACACACACACACACACACACACACACACACACACACACACACACACACACACATCCACAGTTATAAATGCCAGAAACATAAAAGTGGTGTGAGAGTGACTGTGGGTCCCCCACACTCCCCGGGCCCCGCTCCTACAGGCAACACATCAACTGTTGGACTGTTGTGTTGCTCGGAAGTCAACCCGTCTTCACACTATTCTCGTCCCTGCAGCAGCCCGTCCTCCACAACAAAAGTTAGACGTTCATTCCATGCAGGAGCCAACCCCCCGTGTTTATGAATGAAAAACGCTGCACACACGACTCACAACTGATGACTTTCGAACATTTCTCGAACAAGTGCTTCGCCGACGACTTCGGTTCAAATCACAATGCTGTAAATGCTTCAACTACGTACTACAAACGCAAAGAACCACCAGCAGAGCCTAAAACACCTAACCTAACCAATGCCTAAATATGCACAATATGTTAATATATAACAATATTAATTTATATTTGAGAAAATTCCTGTTTTGAATGAACAACGTGTTCAAATTTATGGCGCACAACCCTGTCTTTGGGGGGGGGGGTTGAGCGCTGGATGGAATGGACGTGCTCTGAGGACGGGTTGCATGAACAACGGGGGGGGGGGGGGGTTGATCGGCTGGATTATCGACCATTCGGCCTTTGTTGACAAGGACGGGTTGAGGAAGCGAGCCAAGCGTTAGTTGAGAAAAGTTCGATCGCAATCAATCAATCAATTACCAGAAATTTTTGCCAAATATCCCCAGTTTGCTAGCTGTAGGTAGTAACTAAGTGATTGTAACCTATCCACCGCTGCCCACTGGATGGGGGGAGGTGTGCAGGACAAACATATCAATTGTGACACTAGCTCTCCACATATGGCAGTTGCTTAATTTAGAACCTGTACTTGAGGTCGACCTCGAACCCATTGTTGATGTGACGACTTATACTGAATTTTGTAACTAGCTCATCAAGACTGTAACTTGCTTAGCTAAATGAATTGTGGGGTTCAGTCCCTGAGCCCATTATGTGCCTCAGTAACCCGTTCCTCTACCCCCCACAAGATGGGTATGGGGTGCATAATAAATGAACTAAACTAGCAATCAATCGAGTGGCGTGTAAACATCTACACGGTCTCTCACCTGATTCCTGGTCATATTGGTCTTGGTGGCGAGTTGGTCTTTCTGGTCCTTGGAGGGGTACGGGTGGGTGAAGTGGGCGATGAACCAGCGGCCCAAGTGGTAGCTCCTCGCCTTGAGGAACACCCGGCTCCTCCTCTCCCTCGTCAACAGGAACTGTCTGCGGGAGAGACCACGTCTGGTGAGATGGTGAGCGTCCAGGAGCAGAGAGAGAGAGAGAAGACAATGAACGGTAAGGAAGAGGTGCACGAATATAGAAGGTTGAAGACGATCAGTTAAAGATATTTGAGGTGAAGGAAGATTATAAAAAACGACAAAAATCATAATAAAATTGAGATATTGATACATGGATAGACTCAAGGAGGTCACTGTAGACGAGCAGGAGTCACACACACACGTGATGAGATGTGTGTTTGTTTACAGGTGTGTGTGTGTGTACAGGTGTGTGATGGTGTACAGGTGTGTGTGTGAGAGTGTGTGATGGTGTACAGGTGTGTGTGTGTGTGTACAGGTGTGTGATGGTGTACAGGTGTGTGTGTGAGAGTGTGTGATGGTGTACAGGTGTGTGTGTGTGTACAGGTGTGTGATGGTGTACAGGTGTGTGTGTGAGAGTGTGTGATGGTGTACAGGTGTGTGTGTGTGTGTACAGGTGTGTGATGGTGTACAGGTGTGTGTGTGAGAGTGTGTGATGGTGTACAGGTGTGTGTGTGTGTACAGGTGTGTGATGGTGTACAGGTGTGTGTGTGAGAGTGTGTGATGGTGTACAGGTGTGTGTGTGTGTACAGGTGTGTGATGGTGTACAGGTGTGTGTGTGAGAGTGTGTGATGGTGTACAGGTGTGTGTGTGTGTGTACAGGTGTGCATGACTGTGTGTGGGGGGGGGAGGCTGTGTATGGGGGTGGTAAAACACGAAACCAGTCTATCTTCATGAAGTACACTACACTGTAATTACAAGATAAATCTATTAACAAACACTGGACCCTACGATAGCAGGATGGTCACTGTGATAACCAAGATGGAGAGACCCCTCTCGCCTCCCTGAATGTGTGTCTGTGCCGGATATACATGTATCATTGCCCGTATAGATGGATGAATGTATATATATATATATGTATTTAAGAATGTATATTTACCTCTCCAGATTGCCCTTTCTCTAACTCTCTTGCTTTTAGATTTAGATTTTTTTTAACTTTTAATAATAAAACTTAATTTTTTGTTATAACCAGACGCTCACTAACTACAAGAAATATTATTTGAGTCAACTGGGAATAACTCGCTATAGACAGGCAACTGCAGCTGTCACTCTTCTTAATACTACCCAGCCTTCTTTTACCTGCCATTTTACGATGTGTTTACATCGTAAACACATCGATAGAGTTGATTGACAGTTGACGGGCGGAACCCAAGAGCCATAGCTCAACCCCCTACAGCCCCCACTACTTAACTGAACCCCAGACATGAAGGGAACTATCAGGGGGGAAAGCGCCAAGCCCTTATGACTATATAGCACTTGGAAGGGGTCAGGATAACGATTTGGGATGGAACGTGGGGGAAAGGAAGGGGGATTGAACGCCGACCTGTAGGAAGCGAGATCTAGATGGGCAGTGGCCATCTAGAGCGGGGTGGGGGTGTTCCTTCCCCCCCCCCTCCCTCACCCCAGCCCGTTGAGTGCCTCTTGTTCCTCTAATATGTTAATGAAGTCCTCTAAGATGTTCCTGCGATTTCTGGGACACACTTGCGGCTCCTGGGACCACTCCTGGGACCACTCCTGGGACCCCGGAGACACTTATGGGGGCGCCTAGGACAAACCTTTGACTCCTAGGACTGTTCTGAGACCCTTAAGACTTTATTAAGATTCCTAGGTTAGTCCTGGATCTTCTAGTTTATTCCTTGGACATCGTTAGAAGTCCTAAGAACTCTTAAGAAGTCCTAGGACTTCCATGGAAATTCTAAGATAATCCGAGAATCGTGGGACACTAGAACGTTCCTGGGACACCTAGAGCGTTCCTGGGACACCTAAAAGGTTCCTGGGACACCTACAAGGTTCCTGGGAGACCTAGAACGTTCCTGGGACACCTAGAACGTTCCTGGGACACCTAGAACGTTCCTGGGACACCTAGAACGTTCCTGGGACACCTAGAACGTTCCTGGGACACCTAGAACGTTCCTGGGATACCTAGAATGTTCCTGGGATACCTAGAAGGTTCCTAGATCAGTCGGGACATTCCTTTGACACACTGAACATATCTGGGACATTTTCAGGACTTTGCTAGGATACCTGGGATATAACATTCTGGGACACTCTGGGACATTCTTGGGGCATTGAGGTCATCACCAGGACACCCAGGAAATTCCCTTGGCTTCCTGGGACACTGGAGGGATACATGGATCCTCAAGGCTCCTGCGCATACTCAGGTATTTCTGAAGGCACGGACACAGGTGTCACAGGTGTCTTGGGATGCATGTATTTTGGGGCGCAGGTATTGTGGGATACTCCATCCATATCCCCCCCCTTATCCACCCTTCTCCACCACTCCAAGACCCCTCTCCACCTCTCCACCTCTCCACCACTCCACCATCATCCCAGGCCTTCGCCATACACGACAAACACGACCAACGTGGCCTTTGACGAAGCAAGATCAGCACATCACTCAACTCGGTTCTCAAGTCCGACCAGAGTTCCAGCTTCCCCTCCACCACCACGTCCAGGTACTCTCAAGAAGACCAACTGGTCAAACTACAGGCACTAAGGAGAGCCACAAAACAGAGCACTAACAAGAGGCACAAAGCGAGGCACTAACAACAGGTGCCAAACGTCACCCCACTATATGACCAAATTGCAACCCGTTCTCGCAAATTTAATAAGTCAATATTGACTTATGAACTACGTGCATAGGTGACATACTTAACATAATAGATACCCTTAAAAAGATTCATAGAAAACACCGACCTTACCTAACCTTGTTAGTATCTTAAGATAAGCATCTTATTGCTTCGTAATTACAATTATTACCTAACCTATAATGGGTTCCTCTGTGATTCACCCAGGGAACCTTGGACAACAACAGCACGGTGTGGAATACGGCCCAAATGTTAAGTCCCAGTGATGGGGAGATTGAAGCAAGACCCAAAGCCCGCTCAACCACCTCTGGCGGCCCAGGAGCTAAGCTATGCGTTACCAGAATACGCACTTACGCACGAGCCAAAGTCTTCGTTTTTGTATGTTGTTTTAGATTTAGCTAATCAGAACAAGATGTCCACGAAAGACTGGCTATAGTGAGCCCGGTAGGACCCAAAGTCTTCATTTATTCATGTATACAAAGGCTGAAAAACGCGTGACCAATGTATCTCTGGGAAGAGAGAACACCCTCAGCTTAATTTCCTAAAATACACACACACACACACACACACACACACACACACACACACACACACACACACACACACACACACACACACACACACACACACACAGAGTAGTTAATAAATGGAATGCACTAGGAAGTGATGTGGTGGAGGCTGACTCCATACACAGTTTCAAATGTAGATATGATAGAGCCCAGTAGGCTCAGGAATGTGTACACCAGTTGATTGACAGTTGAGAGGCGGGACCAAAGAGCCAAAGCTCAACCCCCGCAAGCACAATTAGGTGAGTACACACACACACACACACACACACACACACACACACACACACACACACACACACACACACACACACACACACTTCCTTTAGGAAGTGATGTGGTGGAGGCTGACTCCATACACAGTTTCAAGTGTAGATATGACAGAGCCCGATAGGCTCATGAATCTGTACACCTGTTGATTGACGGTTGAGAGGCGGGACCAAAGAGCCAGAGCTCAACCCCCGCAAACACAACTAGGTGAGTACAACTAGGTGAGTACACAGTGTGTGTGAAAAGAAAGGCCTGGAGAAGAAAGAAAAGGCTAGAGTTTTGAGGAGATGGTTATTCAGGGCTGTGAAAGTTTCAGTGACTACATAACGGTAGTAATTGGAGAACAAAAACTTATAGTCGTAGTCATATATATAACCCACCACCAAATGACAGAAGACCCAGACAGGGATATGATAGAAACAACATGGCCACCATTAATATAATAGAGCAGCTTATGTCACCAGCAGGGATGGATCTAGACTACTAATCATGGGAGACTTCAACCATGGGAAGATAGATTGGGAGAACAGAGAACCACTTGGAGGACCAGATATATGGAGAGCTAAGCTGCTGGACGTGGCAACAAGACACTTTCTAAGCCAGCACATCAAGGAACCAACAAGAATGAGAGGAAAGGATGAACCAGCCATGCTCGATCTGATATTTACCTTAAATGAGTGGGATATAAGGGAAGTTAAGTTCGAAGCCTGCTTGGGAATGAGTGATCACAGTGTATTGATCTTTGAGTACCTGGTAGAGCTGGGATTTATCTCTCCAAAAACAGAACTAGGAAACAAAGGGCTGGCGTATCGAAAGGGGAATTATGAGGAGATGAGTAGTTTCTTAAGGGATATACCATGGGACACAGAACTCAGAGCCAAGTCCGTACAAGACATGATGGAATATGTCACTCAAAAGTGTCAGGAGGCAGTAAACAGGTTTATCCCGGTCGTAAAGGAACAATCCGAGAAGCAAAAGAGGAATCCGTGGTTTAATAGGGCATGTGTGGAAGCAAAGGAGCTGAACAAAAAGGCATGGAGGAACTTCCGAAAGAAGAGAAAAAGTATGAAAATTATATAGCAAATAAAGCCTAGAACTAACCAAAGCTACTCCTCAGTCACATCAGGTGAAAAGCAATAGTGAAAGAACAGGTGATGAAACTTAGAACGGGTGAGGACAGGTATACAGAGAACGACAAAGAGATGTGTGAAGAACTCAACAAGAGGTTCCAGGAGGTCTTTACAACAAAACGAGGTGAGGTCACTGCGCTAGGAGAGGGGGCAGTAAACCAAGCGGCCTGGAAAGGGGTCCGAAATTACAACAGACGAGGTCAAGAGACACCTGTTGGATCTGGACGTGAGTATGGCTGTTGGTCCAAACGAAATTTCACCATGGGTACTGAAAGAGTGTGCAGAAGCACTTTGCTTGTCACTCTCCATAGTGTATAGTAGGTCACTGGAGACGGGAGACCTACCAGAAATATG